CCCCGTTACACGCCCGAGAAGGCCGCCCGAGTAGGCCATAGCTCCACAATCCACGGCGGCCCGCCGATATCAAAATCAATCAAAAAAGTTGAAAAAACAAAAAAACACATAACAAATGCGCCTACTGTAACGTGGGCGACGATTCGCAAAATCGACGAAAATCTTGCTGCGCTCCACCGGCCGCGCTCGGTCTCTTTTTTGTTTTTTATCGGTCTCTTTTTCGTTTTTTGGCGGCAAGAAATCAACACACGTTTACGGCGACGACCCTGCGAGCCTGCGGAGGGCATATAACTCACTCACACCCTGAAAATGAACGTACACAAGGGGTGTTTCCGGACCGATACAGTCAAAATGAGGGTTCGTTATGTTCGGGGAAACACGGGTTGGTCCCACAATTGGCCACTCACCAAATGCAAAAAGAAGAATTTATGGACGTGTATCTTTCCATGTCCTGAAGGAACATTCATTTCACATTTTGCAAATTAAATGGTGACTAGTGAATCGAGGCCCTTCTGGGCACCATTCGACAGATCTAGAAAACGCAAAGAGGGGGCGGTGCGGTGCCGTAGCGATGGGGTGCGGTGAGTTAGCGATGGGGTGCGGCGTGTTAGCGCTGGGGTGCGGCGTGTTAGCGCTGGGGTGCGGCGCGTTAGCGACGGGGTGCAGTGCCTTAACGATGGGGTGCGGTGCGTTACCAAGGGCAAGGTCCCACTTGCACGGATTAAGAGATTCTGGCCGTTGATCTTTGCTATCTACGATCAATGTCGCTTAATTCGTGTAAGTGGGACCTAGCCCCAGGGGGTAGGACAAAGTGAGCACAGCAGATGTACCCGTGCCGTTCCCTGTGCTGTCTGAAGCTTACCGCGGTAACTACCGAAGGGTTTTATGGTCATCTTCTTCGCTATTTTCCGGGATTTACCCCGGCTCTCCACCATAGCCTCGGCTCCGGTTCTCCTGTGGCAATGGCCTATCGGAGGCAGGTGTCGTGAGAGGAAGAATGGCTTGGCTCCAGTTACTGAAAGAAAGAAAGAAAGAAAAAAAAAAAAATCAAAAGAAACCCAGCTCTTTTATTATACGCAAAGAAGGGGGAGGCCGGGAATCCCTCCACAAACAACCCGGATACAAACAAGTAACCAAATACTGGGACCATTACCCAGCTTAGGTGCAGGCATTGGGAATTATAGTCAAGCCGCAGAATAGGCCAAATCAGGACCGCTGCACTGACATTACCCAACCCTGGGAGAAAAGAAAATAACCACAAGGCCCAGAAAAACCGAACAAACCTAAAAGAGGGTCCAAAAAATACTAAAAACCAAGTCCTACGTTACTCACCGTACAACTACTAACCAATTCCCCCAAACCCAATAAGGGGAAAAGAGGGAGCATGCCAAAACAATCAAACAAGCCAAGGAAAATCCTAACTACCAATCCATGCATCCAAGAATGCGAAAGCAAACCTTGAACTATCCAAGAAAATTACCGACACCCCTATCACAGGGGGGAGG